TTTAAATATGTTTATTTACTCAGTGGTTAGGTAATATTTCCTAAGTTTCAAAACGTTTGAGAAAATGTAACAATCTCTGCCTACTCGGGTCATGCATATGCTAGCTAGTACTCTATATATATAGTATACATAGGGCTTGGCTGCAATATTGACCAGACTTACATAACCACCAGCTTTTATCCAATCAATCTAAAATTTAAATATGTTTCTTTAATCAGTGGTTAGGTAATATTTCCTAAGTTTCAGAACGTTTGAGAAAATGTAACAATCTCTGCCTACTCTGGTCATGCAGATGCTAGTACTCTGCATATAGTATACATAGGGCTTGGCTGCAATATTGACCAGACTTACATAACCATCAGCTTTTATCGAATCAGTCTAAAATTTAAATATGTTTCGTTACTCAGTGGTTAGGTAATATTTCCTAAGTTTCAGAACGTTTGAGAAAATGTCACAACCTCTGCCTACTCGGATCATGCAGATGCTAGTACTCTGTGTAATTTATAGTATACATAGCGCTTGGCTGCAATATTGACCAGACATACATAACCATCAGCTTTTATCGAATCACTAGTCTAAAATTTAAATATGTTTCGTTACTCAGTGGTTAGGTAATATTTCCTAAGTTTCAGAACGTTTGAGAAAATGTAACAATCTCTGCCTACTCGGGTCATGCAGATGCTAGTACTCTATATATATGACCATATATAGTATATATAGAGCTTCCCACCGGGCACACGACGTTGTTTCAACGTTGAAATTTGGTAGAAAAAAGGTTGCGACGTCGACAACCTAATATGTACGTTGCTCGATCTGACGTTGTTTTACAAACATTGGTTCAACAGCTGCCAACAGACGTTGAATTCATGGTTAAATGTACGACGTCGATTTGTGAACCAATCTCAACGTTGTTTTAACGTGGATTCAACGTTGAATTATGGTTGACGAGATTGGCAACCTAATTTCAACGTTGTTTCAACGTCGAAACAGTAACGTCGATCCAATTTGCATAGTCAACCCTTTTTCAACGTCTATCCAACGTCTGGAAGGTCATTTCCAACGTTGATTCAACGTTGGATAAACGTCATTTTGCCCGTTGGGATATCGTATATGTAGGGCTTGATAGCAAATTTGACCAGATTTTTACATAACCATCAGCTTTCACCCAAGCAACCTAAAATTCAAATACACTTTTTTCTCTCACTATTTACATAATATTTCCTTAATTTTAGAGAGATTGACAAAATGCAACAATCTCTATCTAACCACAATCAATGGGAGATTAATTAGGCCCCCCTTCGCTGGAAAGGGAGCCTGATCAGTCCCCCCTTTCCTTGCTGCTGCTACACAAAAATATATCAGTTAAATTGGCGGAAATAACTATGCTTCTTTAACCTCGGTTATATTCTACAACATTTACTAAATTTCAGAAAGATTGAGAAAATGCAACATTCTCTGCCTACTCGAGTCATTCAGATGCCAATGGCTATATATATCGTATATATAGGGCTTCACTGCAATATTGACCAGATTTACATAACCTTCAGATTTTATCGAATCAGTCTAAAATTTAAATATGTTTATTTACTCAGTGGTTAGGTAATATTTCCTAAGTTTCAAAACGTTTGAGAAAATGTAACAATCTCTGCCTACTCGGGTCATGCATATGCTAGCTATAGTACTCTATATATAGTATACATGGGGCTTGGCTGCAATATTGACCAGATTTACATAACCACCAGCTTTTATCCAATCAATCTAAAATTTAAATATGTTTCTTTAATCAGTGGTTAGGTAATATTTCCTAAGTTTCAGAACGTTTGAGAAAATGTAACAATCTCTGCCTACTCGGGTCATGCAGATGCTAGTACTCTGTATATAGTATACATAGGGCTTGGCTGCTATATTGACCAGATTTACATAACCATCAGCTTTTATCGAATCAGTCTAAAATTTAAATATGTTTCGTTACTCAGTGGTTAGGTAATATTTCCTAAGTTTCAGAACGTTTGAGAAAATGTAACAATCTCTGCCTACTCGGGTCATGCAGATGCTACCCACCGGGCACACGACGTTGTTTCAACGTTGAAATTTGTTAGAAAAAAGGTTGCGACGTCGACAACCTAATATCTACGTTGCTCTGACGTTGTTTTACAAACATTGGTTCAACAGCAGCCAACAGACGTTGAATTAACGTTCCTTCATGGTTAAATGTACGACGTCGATTTGTGAACCAATCTCAACGTTGTTTTAACGTGGATTCAACGTTGAATTATGGTTGACGAGATTGGCAACCTAATTCCAACGTTGTTTCAACGTCGAAACAGTAACGTCGATCCAATTTGCATAGTCAACCCTTTTTCAACGTCTATCCAACGTCTGGAAGGTCATTTCCAACGTTGATTCAACGTTGGATAAACGTCATTTTGCCCGCTGGGACGCTGGTCATACTCAGTAAATTTACAGCAAATTGTGCTAGAATTAAAATTGAAACTTTTGCAGTTTGCACAAAACTGCCCACTTTCTGTAAGATGTCCTCTGACAATACGAGCCCATGCACACGAGTGGGCGAAATTTTGCAATATTTGACCAACGTGAATTAAAATGAATGATTTGTTATTTTGTTTTACGCACCATGTCTATATGTAATTTTCATACGACTATCAGATAATTTTATAATTTTTGCTTGACTAGATTTCACAGGAATGACATGTCACGTTTTTTTGCTACGTTGAGGATTCCCGAGTATTAGAGAGTTTAAGCAAGACAACAAAGTACGAAGACGAAAGCGTTGTTGACAATTTTTGCCGTCTGCACATTATCTTGCGCATACAGGGCCGGAGCTACGGGGGGGGGGGTGTGGGGGGTGTGACACCCCCCAGTAATTGTATTCAGTCGGCAGGACTGCTATTCAGTCGGTAGGACTGCTATTGAGTCGGTAGAACTGCTATTTGGGTTAAATATTTTTGGCGCAAAGGGCAAGAAGGTGGTGGGAATTTTAGGAAAATTTTGATGAAAAATGTAAAAATTTCGGAAAAATGTAAAAAAATGTTGAAAATTTGTTATGTTCGGAAAATTTTTGAATGTTCCGGCAAATTTTTGTATGTCCGGAAAAATTTTTGGACCCCTAAAATGGTACACTGACCGAATTTTTTTTGGCGAGGGGGGGGGAGGTCAACCAAAAATTTCTGATCCGGAAAATTTTTTTTTGAACCAGTCGGTTGAATTGGCCTTATTAACACCCCCCTGAAGAATTTCCTGAGGACGGCCCTGTGCGCATACTGAGTTGGACGTCACTGGTGGTTGTTCAACGTGTCTTCCCATGTGTCGCTGACTATTGCTCAACACTGACCATTATTCTTGTCCTGACCCACGGAACGAAGTTCGCAACGAATTTTGCCAAAATATTTGTTGTGAACGAAGGCATAAGAACGAAGATATGGACGATTCATGTCTCGCTGTTTTGTCCTGATCAGTGTAGGGATTTAGGTCAGCATTCATAAGTAGCTAGACATGAATCTCTAATCTGTCTTTATCCCTGACCGTAAACTCAGAATCCGCAAGATAATGTACAAGACAGGCAAAAATTGTCAACCACGACGTCGTAGTCCGACTTCGTTCTCTTGCTCAAACTCTCTATTATCGGGCTGAACAAGGTACAAAAGCTTCTGGTATGGAAGCCCTCATGATTCTTCAAAGGGGACTTGCTTATCCAAATGAGGTGGTATGATTTATTCACAATGTAATGTTCACAATATTCCAATGTTCAAAAAAATGTTCACAAAGAGGCGAGCAGTCTGGGCTCGAGGAGGATTCGCTGAGGTTTTTAAACCTATTAAATCTTAAAAGATCTTGAAAAGAGCAGTGGCGTCGCCAGGCTTCCAAATTTGGGGAGGGGGGGGGGCATTTGAGGGACAAACTCGAATTTGGGGGGGAGCAAGATAGAATTTTTAAAAAGGTCGCCCCACTAGGAAATTCGCATCCCCCTTCAAAACGTGGCGATATTCCTAGGAATATCGCCTCCCAGGGGGGTGAGGCGAATACCATAGGAATATCGCCCCTCTTTAGGACACTCGCCCCCCCCTTATATGCGATGTGGTTTATTCAAATAATTTCGTGATACTTTCATCTTATTATTGCCTTACACGTTTGAGAATTTAACTCTGCAAATCTAAAGCTTTTTTGTCTTTTTTTGAAACGTATTATTGGAGTATTGGCAAGTTTTACCATTCAGAGATTTACAAACTAATATTGAAACTGTAAAAAACAGCTTCATGTATACGCGCATTCACTAATGAGTAATGACAACTTATATAAGCCATACATTTTCCGATAACGACAGAACGCTTGTATAGCCTTTAGTCGCTCTTAGTGACTAATAATTTTTTTTGAGGGGGGGGGCAACCCCCCCCCCCCTTGGCGCCGCCACTGGAAAGGAGAAATCAAACGAGAAATATGTCATGCAGAACAGGAATATTTCAATCAAGAAATAGCGGAAAATAAAAACAATGGCAGTGGAATTTGGAAGACTATTCGTCGAGCTCTTCCAAAAAATTCAAAGCAGTACACTCAACATACGACAGATACCAAAGTTCTCGCCAACGAATTCAATCATTTTTTTACATCTGTAGGCGGGAAGGCGGCCCAAGCCTCCGTTGAACTTGCTCAGCTTCCTAGGTTGCCCGATATCCCTCTGCTAAGCACTATCCCTCCACTGCTTGATTCAGATTTATTCACATTTCAACAATCTCGTTCCCAGGGCTTTTCCCTTTTTGTCATTGGGAAGGCGGCATCCTCGTTCCCAGGACTTCTCGGCTGCCTGCGTTGCCGTAAGCCCTGGGACAAGCCGAACCGGAACACCACAAATTCTGGTGTTTTCCGGAAGTAAACGTGCTCTGCCGCAGCTAAA